CACTTGTTTTGCCCTCAACCTCCTGTAGGGAAACAAGCCTTTTGATTTCTTCTTCAAGGACAGCAATGCAACTAGCAGCAATCTTCTCGTTCCTTCCTTTTCAGGAACAGACCATCTTACTTCCTCAGCATTTGGGAGATATAACCTTGGACAGAATCCACCACAACCCTTGGTACATTGCTCCAATAGCTAATTAGCCAGTTAAAAAAGAATGCCTTATATCCAATCTGAATTTGTTATACCTTTCTCTGCTATACTGAAGAACCCATTATTACATTTTTCCTCATGTAGTTATTTATAGACTAATCAAGTCACCCCTTAACCTTCTCTTTGTTAAGATAGATGGAAGGAGCTCTACTGGTTTATCATTGTAAGGCATATTTTCTATCCTTTAATCATTCTTCTCTGAATCCTCTCCAATTTATAAATATCATTCTTGAATTGTGAGCACCAGAACTAGACACAGTATTCCAGCAACAGTTGCACCAGTGCCAAATACAGAAGTAAAATAATCTCTCTATTCCTACTCAAGATTCTGGTTTATACATCCCAGGATCTCATTAGCTCTTTTGGCCACAGTGTCACACTGGGAGTTCATGTTCAGCTAAAGATTCAAACTTCCCACCCCCCAAATCTTTTTCAGAGTCACTGCTTCCCAGGATAGATTCCCTAATCCTTTAAGTATGGCCTCTATTCTTTGTTCTCAGATGTATACATTTACATTAGCCATATTAAAACATATATTGTATTCATGCGCCCAGGTTACCAAGTGATTTAGATCACTCTGAATCAGTGACCCATCCTCTTCATTATTTACCACTCTCCCAATTTCTGGGTCATCTGCAAACTTTAACATTGATGATTTCACGTTTTCTTCAGGTCATTAATAAAAAATTTGAATAGCATAGGGCCAAGAACTGATCCCTGCGGGACCTCACTGGAAACAGACCCACTCGATGACGATTTCCTGTTTACAGTTACATTTTGAGACCTATCAGTTAGCCAATTTTTAACCCATTGAATGTGTACCATGTAATTTTATATTATTCTAGTTTTTTAATCAAAATGTCATGCAGTACCAAGTCAAATGCCTTACAGAAGTCTAAATATATTATGACAGGTTTCAGAGCAACAGCCGTGCTAGTCTGTATTCGCAAAAAGAAAAGGAGTACTTGGGGCACCTTAGAGACTAACCAATTTATTTGAGCATAAGCTTTCGTGAGCTACAGCTCACTTCATCGGATGCATACATGCATCCGAAGAAGTAAGCTGTAGCTCCCGATGAAGTGAGCTGTAGCTCACGAAAGCTTATGCTCAAATAAATTGGTTAGTCTCTAAGGTGCCACAAGTCCTCCTTTTCTTTTTTTGTAAATATATTATGTCATAGAATATCAGGGTTGGAAGGGACCACAGGAGGTCATCTAGTCCAACCCCCTGCTCAAAGTAGGACCAATCCCCAATTTTTGCCCCAGATCCCTAAATGGCCTCCTCAAAGATTGAACTCACAACCTTGGGTTTAGCAGGCCAGTGCTCAAACCCCTGAGCTATCCCTCTCCGCCCCCACCATGTAATGTCAATACTATTACCTTTACTAATCAAACTTGTCATCTCTTCAAAAAAGATAGCAAGTTAGTTTGATAGGATCGATTTTCCATAAATCCATGTTGATTTGCACTAATTACATTACCCCTCTTTAGCTCTTTATTGAGTTCTGTGTCTGCAGCTCCATTATCTTGCCCAGGATTGATGTCAGGCTGACAGGCCTATAATTACCCATGTCAACCCGTTTACCCTTTTAAAAAATTGGCACACCATTAGCTTTCTTCCAGGCTTCTGGAAGTTTCCCAGTGCTTCAAGACTAATTGAAAATCAACATTAATGGTCCAGTCACCTCTTTTAAAACTCCTGAATGCAAGTTATCTGGACATGCTGATTTAAAAATGTCTGACTTTAGTAGCTTCTGTTTAACATCCTCCAGAGACACCAGTGGAATGGAAAGAGTGTTATTACCATATGTTGAGACTGTACCATCTGTTTTTTCACCAAATACAGACCAGAAATACTTGTTGAACACTTCTCCCTATTCTGCATTATTATTGATAATTCTCCCATTTCCATCTAGTAATTTAGACATTGCTTCCCAGATGAGGATATCATACTTCACTAGGAGAGCTTGTTGGTTTGCTGTTCTCATCTGGAGGAAAGTAGTTGAATAAATCTTTCTTGCTAAGCAGTCCAGTCTTTCTTTGGGGTCGACTTAATTCTCCCCTGCTGCAATCTCTTTTAATGGCTATGATGATGAGGGAGGTGGGTTGGAGCAAAACATTCAAAGCCTTGCAATGGTACATGGTATCGTTTGTCTATATGTTTGACTGTCGGGGCTAGCAACACTGGTGTAAGACAAAAGGCTTTCACTGGCTGTCAGAGAGTGTTATTAATCAGCAGGGCTACTCTTCCTGGAGCTGTTGCCTGAAAGATGTCTAATAACTTGTGTGTATTTTCCTTTACCAGTTCAGCTTGTGTACCTAGACAAGCAGCCATTCTCCTAAGTAAGTCCTGATAGAATTTTAAATCTTCTGGCGGGTGGAGAAGATGAACTTCAGACCACTGGGTCATCTAGGGAAGATGAGCACAGAATTGCTGGAGGTGATGTTAATTTCTTGAGGCTAAGGTTGATTCTCTGGCAAAGACTCCTCCAACAGCGGTGGTTCGAGAGGACAGGCATTGTCCAGTACCTGTATCACAGGCCATTCTGGGAGCTGGTCCACTCAATAAGGGGTTCTCCCTTCCACTGTGTAGTGATTTAGATCTATGTGAACAAGGGGCACCCCACAGGGCCCAGGGAAGCCACTGCAAGATGGCATAAGGCACAGGAGGCCAATACATACATTTCCAAGAAGGTGTGTCCTTGTTATAAGAGCAACTGTGCTCTTGGTGCTGATCTTTTCCCTCAGTTGGGTATGTGGAGGATATAAAGGGCTGCTTTCACCAAGGTGATAATGGAGATGAACTGAAGGACTCTGAATCAGAGTGGGTGGAACCCTCTGAATAGTCAGTGAGCATCAGTAGTGCCTGACCTGGTTTGTCCATAGTCCAACAGGGGAGGGGGAAATGTCAGTACTGGAGGAGGAACTGTGGTTGGTATAGCAAAGGCATCCCAAGAAGCAGAAGACCTTAAAGAGGGATCCAGTATTGAGAAGGTGTCCACTATTGGGGCCAAACAACAAGATGGAATTGGTCCCAATTCTGAGGGATACTTTAGTACTGAGTTTGCTAACACTGAGGTTGAGGATTTCGATGGTACTAAGAACAATACTGGCCCAGCAGCCATCTTTGTCAATCCCAAAGTTGTCAGTGATAGTAGTCTCTGTCCTGGAGTTAGAAATGCACCGATGTCCTGTAATAATAGAGAGGAGCGTACTGACAAACAGAGCAAATCTGTTGCTGCCACACAGGCATAAGAGACTGTCAGTACAGAAAGCAGCAGAGCCACTGTGATATCCATAAGTATCAAAGTCAACAGCTGTACCACTGACGGTTCTGGAGTCAATGGTATGGTACTGGGATCCTCTCACCTCAGTACCAGGGAGACACAAGTTGACGGTCCAGCTCTACCCCAGGTATCTGAGTCTTGTGGACACTGTGAGACTGTTTTTGCCACAAATGGGGAATGAACATCTTCGATTTTGGATGGCTCTGATCCATTTTATGGATCCTTTCATGAGGGACCTTGGGAGATGATGGATTGACTCTTCCCTTTCTCAGGGAAGAATCAGAGTTCAGAGACTATCGGCAACTACCACAGAGGTAGAGAATGCCTGAGGAAGGCTGGCCAATGATCCAAAGAGGGTCCTGGTGCCAAGACACCTCATAGCCTGTTCTATCACATGATGTTTCAGGTAAAGATCTCTAGATACCCGTGTTCTCTTTTTAAAAGAATGACAGATATTACAGAAAAGTGTAATATATTGCTTACTGTGCTTAACTAAAGGAAATGTGTGGGGGACAGTGCTGGGGACCCCACAAAACAGGCAGCGCTTGAAACCCAGGGAATGCTGCATAACCTACGGTGCTGAGAATCACAACATTATAAAACTAACTAAACTAACAACTACACTAAACTACAGGCACTAGTTGCTACTATTTACAATAGTGAAATCTCAGCAACAAATTGTGATACAAAGAGAAAACCGTGAGGAGAAAACCCCTCAAAGGGAGGACTAAGGTAATTGACAATAAGAAAAAAATGAGGGAGGACTGGGGTGGACTCACCCTTATATAGCCTTGGGGGGGCCATGAGGAGGCACAGGACACATGTGCCACCCCGAGTACTGCTGTGAGAAAATAATCTCCATCTCCAGTACAGTAGGCACGAACATGCCAAGTAGAATACATGTCTACAACCACTCAAAGAAGAATATTGTTGACTTTTTTCCTGCCTATTTGCATTTTTAATTCTTCTAACAAACTGGCTAACAGTTTGACCAAATTGGCATCATCAGGACTTACATTATATATATAAAAAATCCAATAATGAGAAAACAGTCTAGGTCTGTCCAAAGCAATAATTTACAAATAGCAGCAGCAGCTTGCTGGTCCCTATGACTTTCACAGAACACAAGAAAGAACAGTGCAATCCTCCTTCTGCCTTTCACGGCATCTCACATCTCCAGTGCTCCTTAGCAGTGCTTAATTTGTAATGAAAGAGATGCCACGGCTCAAGCAATTTTTTTATATTCATAACTCATGCAGCAAGCCCGGAGATGCAGGGGTTATGAATTGCCAAGTCTAGAAGTGCCGGGCTCAGCCCTGACACAAATTAAGCACTGCCCATTAGCCTCCCTTGCCTATAGGCTCTAGGCTGTTTCTGAACATATAGCTGCAGCATGGCAACCAACCTATTACAGTATGTTTTACTTTTAATTATTTTCTTATTAGGATTTCTCATTTATCACAACATAAAAAACAAGATGTTAACAGAGAAATAAAAAGGCAAGTACCTGACACGAGCATTGCAGTATTTTTTTGCATATTCATTCCAGGTTCCAAATCTTCTTGGAAAAAGTGCCTCAATCTGCATGAAAAGCTGTAAACAAAGACACCAATATAAATAATAAAATGTGAGGGGTCCATACCATACAAATGATCTTTAAATACATTTTTCTCCATACCCTTAGCTCCACCAAAACTATTTAAAAATAATCTTCATTTAATAAATCATTCATCTGTCTCTATTTTCTACAGGCTACATTACATAAATACAAAACTTGAAACAAATAAATAACATTACATAGGAATTTTATGTCCCCCTAGGAGAGAACATCTGTGGAAAGACCTTGAAGGGGAGTTTATGGGTGGTATATCAGTAACCTGAAAAAATGTAACTGATGGCCTCACACAGACAAGGGCGGGGGAGGGGAGAGAAATAATCCAAGATATTCAGTATCAGAAGCTGGGCCCACTCTTCCTAACCCTTTGCCAGGGAAATAAGGATGAAGCTAGAAAAGATGTGCTTTCAGTGCTTGGAACATTATTTATTAAATGTAATTAACCTATTAGCCAGATTAGTTTTTGTTGCATTTCAGATTAGATATGTTATGCATACTGTTTGGTATTTTTGCCTGAGCAGGAATTTCTTTATTTAGACTGGGAATTTCATGCACATCATATCCCAGAAAAGTGGAACAATGGAACAACTTTCAATCTCTAAAAGGAGGTAATGAAGAAAGGGGGTGTGGAGACCATCCAGGATTCTCTGTCAGAAGTATCCACTCATAAACTGTGTTACTTTCGAGGCCCTCCACGTACACAGGAAGTACCCTCTGAGACATTGTAGGTATGACTACACTTCCAGCTGAGTGTACAATTCCCAGCTCAAGGAAACATACTCAAATGGCTCTGAATGAGCTAGCTGTCTAAAAATAGAGTGTAGCTGTGGCAGCATGAGTGGCAGGCGAGGCTAGCCAACTGAAACAATAGGTATGTACTCAGGTCAGCTAGCACCTAATCGAGGCTGCCAAGGCTACACTCTATTTTTAGCACATTAGCATGATCAGAGCTAGCATGAGTATGTTTCCTTGAGCTGGGAATCACCTGCAGCTCGAAGTATAGGCACTCCCTCAGTTTAAGAGGCATAAGACAAAATTTACGCACAGCCCTCCCATTTACTCTGCTGCCCCCTCAAATCCTCCCAGATCCCCTGTATTATTTCAGTGTTTCCAAGCCCACACATGATTTGTCCTAATCCCACACCAGAAATTAGACACCTCTCAGTGTCTTTTCCCTTCCCCAAAGGCTTATTTCAAGACAGCAGGTGGAAGAGATGCTACTATTTTGGGCCAGATTTTACAGTTTCTAGGCCAGGAGCATTTTACCCTTATTTACCTGCTACACATCAACAATGCAATGCATTTCTGCCACACCTTCAGAGGATTTCACAGCAAAATATTTTACTCCTCGGGGAATTACGTGCCACTGCGGTTCAGCAGAAAAATGCCCCCGCGGAAACTCTCTTTGCTTCCTTGCAGAAAATAGTTTATGTGGGGAAGCAAAGAGAAGCTGCACCAGTGCTCACTCACCCCACCCCAGCAGCTCAGATGTATCTGTTCAGACAGCTACGAGAGAGGTAAATCATTGGGGGCAGGGAGGTCTGGGGATGTCCCAGCTGCCCAGGGATGTTAGTCCCAGCTGGGCCGGGTGTGGGGAAGGAGGAGAACGGAGACAGAGTTTACCCTTCCCTGCACAGAGCAGCCAGGGCTGGGTCAGATCAAACCCCAGAAACTTCTCCTGGCTGCAGGGGAAAGGGGGATGGGGGGGTGGGGGCGGGCTTTGTGAGGAAGTGTCTGGGGGCAGGTGTGATGAAGCTCAGTGGGGGAGTTTGGGTGTACGGGGGTCCGGATGCACAGGGGTTGGACGGACAGGGGGAGCAGCTCCCTGTATAGTTCCCCCTCTCCACACCCGGAACCTCCCCCAAGAGAGCCCCTCCCCCCCCATCAGGAGTTCCCACACCCAGAACCTCCTCACTGAGCCCCCAAACCCCTATCCCGCTAAGATTCACCCCTGCATCAGGAGCCTCCCACACCCAGACTCCCACCTCACCAAGCCCCACTCCCCCGGCCCCCTCACACTGAGCCCTAACAATCTTCACCTGGACACCCCTGCAGAGTCCCATTCCCCCTGCACCCAAACCCCACATCTAGCCCCTGTGCATCTAGATTCCCCCCGCACTCAGACCCCCGCACGAAACTGCCTGCACCCCGATTGCGCCACACAGAACCTTGGTACTCTTGGGGGAATTCTGCACCAAAACATTAAAAAATTTAAAATTATGCACATTTCTGCATATTTTATTTGTCAAAATAACAGAAACACAACAATATAACCACACCATTTTAAATTATTTTGGTAATTCATTTCAAAATATTTGTTAGTAAATAACTGAAAATGGTGTGATTATATAGTGTTATTTTGACAAATAAAATATGCAGAATTCTGCAGAATTTTTAAATACTGTGCACAGAATTCATTTTTTGATGCAGAATTTTTCATTTTTTTGCACTGAATTCCCTCAGGAATATTATATAATGTAGTTTTTACAACAGGAATAATTTGCTTATTTGCCTCCCAGCCACTGGCATCCTACTTCTTCTTCGGCCAATAGTTAAGACAAACAAGTTTGTTTACATTTACGGGAGATAATGCTACCCTAGTAGATACTGTTCTGATCCCATTGGTAATGTTGAAGAAATGGGACTTGAATCATACTATTTGTTGCTACCCTAGAACAGAATTCTTGATGGGCAATTGTATTAATACTTTTGTGTCATGATCTGAGAAATTTCAGGGATTCATAGAGCTTTTTTCCCAGTTTTTATTAGAGCATTCCCAACACTAAATAATGTTCGGTGAAAATATTAAGTAAAAATGATCATACCTACTTGATTTTCACACGTTGGGAAGATAAATCAATTATTGAGAACTTGTTAACTGAATAAAAACCATTATTTCACACTGAATTCAAGATGAATCAACTAATCTTATCAAATATTGGTATTAGTTAAGCACAGAAATTATATATAATAGATTAGTTTTCCTTGAAAGGCTACTCTCTGGTGTCATCTTTCTGACTGTTGATATGCTTGAAACAGTAAATACGAAAATACAAATATATTTTATAAAATCCCAATATAACCAACACAAAATTAAGCAACCTCTTCTGGTTTCAGATACTCACATTTCATATTGTAATAAGTGCATAAAGTAACAGAATGTCCCAGTGTGATAGGGAAAAAAACCCAGAAAACGACCCTATAATCATGTAAAGCTACGCTGCTGTCTTTTTTCTATGCTTATCTGTCCTTTCTACTTTGTTTATGGATAGAAAGAATGTGAACTGTGTGCAACCTGCACTCCCTGCTTTTGGGAAGAGAATTCCTTATACAGATAAGCCTCCATGCTCGTACCTACCCCAGAACTTCAAACAGACTGGGTTAACCGGTTCGAACTGGAAGAGATATCACAATGTATGTTGAACCAAGCTATAAAAGCTCATCCCTGTTCTTTGTTCGGGGCTTCACCATTTTCCTCTGAAAAGGAATTGGTGAGCCCTTCAGCTGTCGTATTTGCTAGCAATAAAGTGCCTCACTTTATCAAAGAGCCAAGACTCTGTGTTTTGTTTGGCTAATACAGAAGTCCAGGGAAGGCTACCCTCCTAACCCTAGACGGGAGGGGAACCCTTTTTCCCTAACAAGTGCATGTAACTGTATAGATCTACAGGCTTTATAAAATGATATACTTCATAAATGAACCATCATCCCTTTAAAAAAGAACAATACTTTTAATACCTCTTCAGGTCTTCCTAGAGCAGGAGTTCCAGTAAGAAGAATTGCTCGTGCAGCATTCTGCACAATTGGCAATAAAATCTTGCTGCGGGTTGCATTCCTGGATTTCATACAGTGAGACTCATCAACCAAAACTATCTTAAAGTTTTGTTTGTACAAAGTGTCTACTAAAGTCTGTGCATCTGTAGCTAGTAGGCCATAACCCAAAACTGTCACTTTGCTGGTCGATATTCTCCTAGAAAAGAAAATCCAGGGGTTTGGTTATTCATTTATCATAACAGGACTAACTCACAAAGGAAGAAAGAAAAGTGAATACGCTGAAAAAGTGTTACAGAAACAATCTCCATTAAGAAAAGGAGTACTTGTGGCACCTTAGAGACTAACCAATTTATTTGAGCATGAGCTTTCGTGAGCTACAGCTCACTTCATCGGATGCATACCGTGGAAACTGCAGCAGACTTTATATACACACAGAGATCATGAAACAATACCTCCTCCCACCCCACTGTCCTGCTGGTAATAGCTTATCTAAAGTGATCATCAAGTTGGGCCATTTCCAGTTTCTAAGGTATGCATCCAATGAAGTGAGCTGTAGCTCACGAAAGCTCATGCTCAAATAAATTGGTTAGTCTCTAAGGTGCCACAAGTACTCCTTTTCTTTTTGCAAATACAGACTAACACGGCTGTTACTCTGAAATCTCCATTAAGAAAGTGTGCATGAGGCCAAATACAACTGCTATACCTATTGGTTTAAATGCCAAAATTCTCTAATATCAACTGTTCAAGCATCTGCAACATTGGCAAACTACACACAAAAGTACTGTAAACACTTCACATTCCCAGAACAGATATATTACACATAACATTATAGACTGCTGCATGAGAATGCATCAAGGATGTCAATGACTGAATCAGAATCTCCCAATGTACTTCTGATGAATTCAGTACACCCCAAACATGTGGGTAGCTCCATACAAACTCGATGCTAAGATAACTATTTGACTAGCAAGATATGCTACAACTGCAGGCAGCTACTTAAAGTTAATTAAGATGAGATTGGTGAAGCACACACAGAAACTTTATGACTGTTAGTTAATATGGACAAATATAATTGACATCACAGAAAAATCTATACATCTAAGATAAATATAATAAAGTGGTTTCCTGCACTGTTCATACTTACAGTCTTACATTGTGCATACTTACAACCTTATGGAGACCATTAGAAACAAAGATGGAAAAAACAGTCAGTGGAGCACACCAAAAGAGGAGATAACAGTTTTGGGAGTCGCTTACTCTGTCATTCTCAATTTCCCAACTAGGCATAGGTTTCACAACCTTTTATACACTTTTTTCATTCCACCCACATATATCTGAAACCAAATCTGATCAAGTCTCAGCCCCCTATTCATATCTGGTATTGTGGGAGACGGTTATGATTGTTCATATGTGGTATTCTGATTTAGCATAATTACATTTCTGACAGTTAACCATTTGCATCAGTCCATTTCCCAATAATTTTAATATGTTAGTGTGGTTAGTTCTTATTCCAAAAAGTCCCTAAGATGTGTTGTGATAACTGGGCCTTCAAATTTACTCTAATTATGAGCTCAACTGTAAAAAGTAAGTGAAATTTCATAAGATGTCACAATAACCTATGTCACAAATGCTAAGGTGAAAAGGTAAAAAAGGGAGACAGAAAGACTGAATTAGTCCAAACAAAAAGGCTTACTAATATAACTCAAGGACTGTGTTAAGAACATGCTTAGCAAACAAGAAAAGTGGGGAGCCAGAAATCAATGAACCAAAATTGATGCATCAGAAACTAGGCCTAACTGGTGGACAAAATAATGAGGGGATGGGATATTCTGTCTACCACTCCCTTTTGTGGGTCCTTAAAGAAAGAGACTTTGGGGAGGAAAAATTGGCTACTGGAGTGAGCTTCACCATCATGGCTGCCACCCCCGGCATCTCCTGGGACCCCCTGAGCCTTTGTCATCCTGATCCTGAGAGATGTCCTGACCAGACCAGATCAGAGAGAGGGACCCAGATGATATCACCACCTCTACTGGCTCCAACTGAACCCCAGGCACAGCTGCGATGAAACGGAATTGGACTTCAACAACAGCAGCGACAAAAGTAGCTTCAGCCCATCTCAATTAACGTCTTCTCTTTTACCCCCAAAGGACAGTTATTACCGTCTTTGATACCATCTAAGAGACTGCCAAAGAAGGGAGGTTTCCCTTCTAAAAACTCTCTCCAGCTAAATGGAACGGGAACAAGGGATGTTGTTAAAATGAAAGTAATATTTAATACTTTATGTTTCAAATGGGTTAACTGTTTTTCTTTTTTAATCTTTAATAAAAGGTTAAGAAGATTTTTAATGATATATTTGCTATGGTATTAAAGCAAGCTGAAGTGTCTATATACCAAACCCCGAAACTTGTTTATCACTGTTTAATGTTGGACAGTGACTGGGTTATATTAACCACCTAAAGTAACACAACAACTGTGACAAAGTTCCTCCTCTGCCTTGGTGGGTCCTGCACTTATTGGCGGATTTGCTCGCCTCAGAGGTTCACAGCAGCCCTCAGTTTGGCCACTTTTGTGGCTCAAATCTGCCATTCACTCAGTTAGCCTCATCACTGGCCAGTATGGGGAAAGGAAGAAGAACAATCCCCGCAGTCTCTGCTGATCCACCTAGTGGATCGGGGAACAGGCCAGAGACCTTCCCCTCTGGTTGAAGCCACAGTCCAGTTCAACTCCTCCGGTATCAAGTAGGGAGTTGGAGGGATGGAGGGAACCCAGGCCCGCTCTCTACTCCGGGTTCCAGCCCAGGGCCCTATGGATTGCTGCTGTCTACAGTGACTCCTGTAATAGCTGTGTGACAGCTACAACTCCCTGGCCTACTTCCCCATGACCTCCTCCCAACACTTTCTTTATTCTCACCACAGAACCTTCCTCCTGATGTCTGATAATGCTTGTACTTCTCAGTCTCCCAGTAGTATGCTTTCTCACTTTCAGCTTCTTGTGCCTCTTGCTCCCAGCTCCTCACATGTGCACCACAAACTGAAGTGAGCTCCTTTTTAAACCCAGGTGCCCTGATTAGCCTGCCTTAATTGAGTCTAGAAGCTTCTTGATTGGCTGCAGGTGTTCTAATCAGCCTGTCTGCCTTAATTGTTTCCAGAAAGTTCCTGATTGTTCTGGAAACTTCCCTGTTACCTTACCCAGAGAAAAGGGACCTACTTAACCTGGGGCTAATATATCTGCCTTCTATCACTCTCCTCTAGCCATCTGGCCCGACCCTGTCCACCTAAATTAATACAACAGATGCTACCATCTGTTTGCTTGTTGTTCACCTGGCTACCACAAGATGCATTATTAAACTATTACAAAATGCATATTAATAAGTTTTATAACCTTAGGCGAAGAACGTATAATTTCAGAACCTTTGGTCATGCACATGCTAACTTCCACCACACCTCACTCTAAGCCTTTAGCAGTTAAAACCTGCAGCAAAGCTTATTTTTAATAAATATATTTTGGCTTTTTTACTTGCTACTACAGCTTCAGTAATGTCCATTATTATTTCCATAAGCGTATTTAAGAAATAGATTACATTTTACTCAAAACTATAGACTCTCCAAGTTCAGATCAAGGGTCAACAGCATCCTGAACTTTGAGATGTGACTTAGTGCAAAAACTAAGCTGGGTTTGACCTATTTTGGTCAAGGGTTGGGAGACAGATGAGGCATGGTTTGAGTTGAACATGGTATCTTCAACCTGAACTTCAAGATAGGCTTGGTTTGAACTTCACCCTCAGAATTGATGCTCTGAGTTATCCCTGAACTAGAGTCTGATAAAGGCACATGCAGTGATTAGTTATTCCTGTGCTAGCCTCTGGCCAATCCACAACCTAGGAGCTGGTTTAGAGACTCTATAAGTCTCAAAAGAGAAACAGCAGCTCAGTCTGCCCGACGCCATTTTATGGCTTGGCGCTCTCCCCTGCCTGATAGCAGCGACAGACTTCACCGCCCTCAGCCCGCTCCAGCCCTGTTCCCAGCCCTACGCTTGCTTTGTTCTGAATGTGTGCTTGAATCCTTATTCTGGTTCCAACCTTTGGCTCTGATTCCTGGCCTGGCTGCCACCATGATGACTACTAGGCCAGACCCTCCACATCTTGGTTTCTGATAGATACTAAGCACCAACAAGGCATTGCAATGAAGAACAGAGTGCTTCAACGCCTTTGCAAATGAAATAGCTCAACTCAGAGTCAAAGCACAGCTTTTGAGACCATTCTTGCTGATCTCAGTTGATTGTCAGTGTCAACTGTCTCTTAACATTGAATGGTAATTTTTTTCCCGGCACTTTCAAATATTTCCAGGCTATTTTTATGTTTGAGTTATTTGGTCATCGCAGAGAAGGGTACAAATGTTTTGAATAATTCCAAGTGGACTCTACCTGCAGTAGATGTCTCTATCAGTAGTCAAGTCATTTGCTGGCATTCCTCAGACATCAGAAAGAGCAATTTTCCTTGTCCAAGAAAGACATTTTATAAGTCCATCCAGACATTACTGTAAATCGCTATGTTGCTTTTGAGATTAAAAACTGGCTTAAACTGAAAATCTTGGCCTAAATTTTAAAATCACTCCTCTGAGATAAGGAAGCATTACAGCTTGCATTTAATGGCGAAACTAAAGTTAAGAAGTTAAGTTTCTTTCTTTAGGTCACATGAGAATTCTGGTATAGCCTGAATAAAACCCATGTTGCCTAACTCCCAGTCTTGTGCACAAGTCCATCATTTGCTTTTCTAGATGTTGGGCTGTGTGAATTTAATTTAATTTGCAGGTGTTCACTGAACAAATCGCAACAGACTTTTGTGGAGAATAAGAAACTTCACTCACCCAATGTCAGTTTTGTTCTGAATGATGCTGATATCATCTGGACAGAGTTCTGGAATCCATTTTTCCATCTCATCAATCCAAGGGTACTTCAGAGATGAAGGGACTACTATTAAGAGAGGCCATTCCTTTTTATAGTAGTAGGAAATGGCAATTGCTTGGATTGTCTTCCCCAGTCCCATCTAAGAAAGACACACAGAAAAAGTAAAGGCATTATCAGCATTTGAAAGGTGAGCATAACCTGTACGCCTTTCAAAACGGCCCAAAGTAGATGGGTTAAAAAAAAATTGAGGGAGAGAAGACCAGTAGAAGGGAGAAATGAGTAGAAGGGGCAAGCTAATGTGTTGTGGAAAGAAGCTGCAAAGCATGGTTTTCAATTAAATTCAAAATAAACTGGTCAAAAGTTCTTGGGGCCTGATCCAAAGCCCATTAAAACTGATAGAAATGCTCCAGTTGACTTCAGTAGGCTTTGGAGCAAGCACATAATGAATGTAGTAGGGGCGGGGAGGCCAAAAATCTTCACCTCCTTGAGCTCCCAAAGGCCCACAGAAAATACATTCAGCCATTGGACAATTCTTTCAGATGTTTAATTTCAATTTATAGCAATCTTTTTTCTACTAAATTATACTCAAATTGTATCGGATTATTTTACATGGAATAGTATCCAGTTTGTATGCAGATAAAGAGTCAATTTAAAAAAACTGTAAAAATTATAAGATGTAATGTGAAGGAAAAAAGTTTTATGATCAAACTATATTTAAGAGAAATGAATTTAAGAGAGTTTACAAAATACATTTTCAAATTTGATAATTTTTTGCATCAAACAACTAGAAATATGCATTTCTTGCATACATTTTAGATTAACAGTATAACTGTCTGGGCTTTTATTTAGATTTATTTATCCCATCAATACCCTAGAACTTTACAAAAACATTTTAAAGTGACCATTTAAAAATCTCCTTTGACTAGCTGGCTATGAAAATGTACTCCCATTTTGTAGATCACAATACATCTTTCTAGATGATGAACTGATTTATGGCTCAGCAAGTAATTCTGTGAAAACAAAATTCCAACCTTGGCACTGCAGTTAATGAGAACTGCATCTTTCTGTAGCAGCTCTGTAATACGAGTTTGGGGCAATGCCTCTGGAGTTCACAAGAAACTTCTTATTAATTCTGGAGTAATGTCAGAAAAGGGAAAGGAGTACTTGTGGCACCTTAGAGACTAACCAATTTATTTGAGCATAAGCTTTCGTGAGCTACAGCTCACTTCATCGGATGCTGTAGCTCACGAAAGCTTATGTTCAAATAAATTGGTTAGTCTCTAAGGTGCCACAAGTACTCCTTTTCTTTTTGCGAATACAGACTAACACGGCTGTTACTCTGAAACCTGTCAGAAAAGGGAGAATTATATGTCTTTAATTTCAATTTGTTGAAGTCCTTCCTCTTCTGTCATCCCACAAAGGAACAGTCCATAATAGCAAGCATTTTAGCTCCACCTACTGGAAGCAAGTTCACACAGAGCAGACTGCAAACTCCCAGAGGGTATATAAACCCACCCTCCATACCTCATAGCCCAGAGTCAAGGAAGAAGTAGAGAATATTCCAAATTAAGAAACTGTAAGAAAAAGAGAGGAATACAGGATTGAAGAACAGAAAGATAAAGTTACCACTAAGTAATGTTCCTTTCTCAAATGTCCTGTCTTCTCCCACCAAAAAAAAAACAACAAAACACAAAAAAAACCAGTTCAAAAACAACAAGCTGAAGTATGTAGTGAAGTGGGCTTACTTGATGAGCCTAGCACAACCTCCTTTGGTCAGGAGCCATTAAGAGAGGGTGAGGTAAGTAACAGAGGGATGGATCCATCAGATGATGATTGATGAAGGAGTGAAGAGAGGATCAAGTGCTATATTCCTCATGATATCATCTCAGCCCTAACTTCCCAGAAGGGAGCCCATATCACTTCTATAATGGCCCCAGTCATCTAGAGAAGGTTTTCTTGCTTGCTAGTATGCCTTACAAATATAGCCCTTAATTCAATGGAAGAAGGTGGTTTTAGTGGCCTACAATCCTCTTTTAGGATCCTAGAAATAAGTTCTTAGGCCATCAGTACTTTTGAGTGTAAGTCAAATATAATGTGAAACCTCTCCTGGAGGAGAAACACTGATTGGTAACGATGATAAGCAGACTCAATATTTTATTAACATGAAATTATTGTTTTTTTGACAGAAGTTACAGAGGTAAATGTAATGCCAGATAAACTTAAACATAAGGAGAATCAAAACTGAAAATTCAGTCTTGACATAGCAAGCCAACAAAATAGCAAGTGTTACTTTCACCAACAGAGGCTGAGAGGTACCATTCCTATACCACAGATTCAAAAAGAGGCCAATATAACTCTAGGTAGGTAACCTTTGATAGGGTGGAAAGGTAAAGGCTCAATGTTTGGGCCTTTAATGAAAAAGCACAAAAAGCATGGCAATATAAGGATAAGAATCCCTCTCAAATGGGCCACCAACATTGGAGATAATAATAATAAATAATAATAATACCACCACCTATTTGTCATATAGTACTTTACATCAGTAGATCTCAAAGTACATTACAAAGGAGGTAAGAGATGGCAGATATGAACTCTTAAGGTCTTGAATTTAAGACTCCTGTTAAAAATGCTAACATATCTGAATATTCCTAGAAGGAACAACTAAGGCTGGGAACCTACCCTTCAGATTCCTGATAAGATCTTTTGAACTACTAAAGAAGAGGCAGGCCCCAAATAATTCTGCTTGGATTTCCCATGGAGTCTAGTGCATTCTGGAACAAGACTTTGGAAACTTAATCAGTGCTGTGTGAATACTCACAGTAAAGACATGATCAGCTCAGATATGTATCTCAGTATAGTATCTTAGTGACTTCATTTAAGGAGATCTCAATAACTAGTCAACACAGTTAAGGCTCCGCCCCAGGCACCACTGGGAGATCTCATAGCAATGACACTAAGATGTAGACAAATCTACTGATACTGGGAAGAAAAAAAAAAAGAATTGGTGGTGGTAGGCCCTTTAGAAAGAAAAGATTAAATTTTTAGAGAGAAGTGTATATAGATACACCACCCCACCGCCACGAATATTGAGAGTCCTAAGGCAACAGTACACTGGCTGTTAATTTGGAATGCAATATGGTAGCAAAAATGGAATGAAATTTGGAGTTACATCTATAGACACAGAAAAGGGAGATGATAATCCCTCACTTCCAATTCTGGTGATATTACAAATGGAATAACCATATTATTTCTGGGCACCTCAACACTAAAAAGATATGAACAAGCAGAAGAGAAAATAGAGAGGAGCAACAGAAGGGACTGGCACATCTGAGGGACTGACTTATGAGGAAAGTTCATAATATTCATAGTAGGGCTTGGCCAAATGACAATTAAGAGGGCAGAGGAATGTTATAATCTTTTACAAGTATTTGAAGGGTGAAGATACTTAACACTTACAAGCATTTTTCATCTTAAACACTGGACAAAAGTTTAAAATCAATCCTCAATACTTATGTGATGCAGAGAAGTTTTATAACCCTTATTTTATGCATGGGAAAACTGAACAAGAGAGGGTAGTCCATGGAATATAATATAACTAGGAAAATCAGGATGAGATATGCAATAAACAAATGAATAAATAAATTAGACTGAACATAGCGAAACATTTTCTATTGATAAGAATTATTTTGCTATGGAATAGTCTTCATATGTAAATGATGGGAGTACCATTTCTTGAGTTATTTAAAAATTAATTAGACAAATCACTTGAGAGTATACTGTTGGGAACATTCCTACATTAGCAGACAGACATGGTTCTTTGGAGTTGATATTTGATATGAAAAATAGTTATTGGATAAAATATGTATTTATGCCTTTTTCTGCAATGAAAATATTTCTGAAATAGGTTATAGACAAGAAGAATGGTTTAAGTGGTTTGATGAAAATCCACAACAAAAATATGTAATGCAGACAACTGATTGGTGTAAAATCCTACCAAAAAGCTAAGAATATATTTTTTTGGACTGGAGTCCATTTGGGAGCTTGTGGAAATGAAAGGCTGCATGGGAACAATGAAGACATTTTAATGGGAAAGCACTTTCTTCAGTTATCAATGGGGCCCTACCAAATTCACGGTCCATTTTGGTCAATTTCACGGTCACAGGATATTAAAAATTGTAAATGTCCTAATTTCAGCTATTTAAATCTGAAATTTCACGGTGCTGTAGTTGTAGGAGTCCTGACCCAAAAAGAAGTTCTGGAGGGGTCGCAAAGTTATTGTAGGGCGGGTGGGGGGAGGGCTTGCTATACTGCTACCCTTACTTCTGCACTGCCTTCAGAGCTGGGCAGCTGGAGAGTGGTGGCTGCTGGCTGGGAGCCCTGCTCTGAAAGCAGAGCCGCCGCCAGCAGCAGTGCAGAAGTAAGGATGGCATGGTATGGTATTGCCACCCTTACTTCTGTCCTGCTGCCTGCAGAGCTGCGCCCTCAGTCAGCAGCTGGGACTCTCCAGCTGTCCAGTTCTGAAGACAGCAGCGCAGAAGTAAGGGTGGCATGGTATGGTATTCCCACCCTTGCGTCTCCACTGCTGCTGGCAGGGCACTGCCTTCAGAGCTGGGCGCCCGGCTAACAGCCGCCTCTCTCTGGCTGCCCAGCTCTGAAAGCAGCGCAGAAGTAAGGGTGGCAATACCGCAACTCCCTAAAATAACCTTGCGACCCCCCCTTGCAACTCCCTTTTGGGTCAGGCCTCCCAATTTGAGAAAAGCTGGTCTCCCCCATGAAATCTGTATAGTGTAGGGTAAAAGCACAAAAGACCAGATTTCACGATCCGTGACGTGTTTTTCATGGCCATGAATTTGGCAGGGCCCTAGTAATCAATGTAGATTTTTCAGCACTGACCGTAAAAGTAGAACAATAGCTAATCACAGTGCTTTCAGATTGCAAATCTTTCTAGGCAGGAATATTTTTGGTATCTAACTTTCTACACTATTTCAATTTATGGATAATACAAATGGATAATAATTCTCTATTAAATGAAGTATTGAATGCACAATTTATGAAGTGTGTACCCAGGATGAAAAATTAATAGTAGTGTTAATTATAAACATTATTATATTTTAACCGACTGAAGTAGATGGAAATTAAAATTAAATTAATAAGGAATATTATAAACATTTTATCCATATGAAGAACAGTACAACAACTGAAATACAGAGCTATGATTCAGTTCATTATAACTACAGGATAATTAATACAAATCACAGATAATCCCCTCATTGCAATTTTGAGTTAGTAATCATTTTATTTACAGTAGATGGTGCACATAATCTTAAATAGGCTGAGCACCCCAAAAGAAGTCAATAAAAAGATAAATACAGAGGAGGAGGTGAGCGAGTCAACTGGTTCACAGCCTAAAGAAGAAAATCATCACTGAGAGATAAAATACTGAGCTACAGGTAAAGAAGAAACTGATATGTTTAAAATAACATAGCAACTTCAAAATATATTTCTTAAAATGGTTTCTTCTTGAGTTTTTATCGACCAGTAGTACTTAATTCAACATGCCAAAAAAACAAAACAAACCAAAAACCACACACAAGCCTCAAACTACTTTTTAACCTGGAAGACTAGTTTCTATAGACTCTGATTCATGCATCTTGAATTCTAAATGGTTTTGGACCTGGTTATCGGATCGCCTCTTCCCAGAAAACAAGGTTGCAGTTGAGATTAGTAGAAGTGCTTGAGCTGGAGCTCCCTCAATATAAAGGGGGAGGAGCTGTTGAGAGGAAACTCACTCTGCGAAGTACATTCTGGATCCAAAAGGCCACAGAACCCTATGGGCCCCTGACTCACTTTGCCTTGACACTATATGGTACTTTGGTTACACAGCACAGTCAAAGGTACCATGCTGTATCATACAAAGAATTTACATTTCCCTAAGAAATCAAAGAATCATTGTTTCATTCTCTGAGAATCATGTATTACTTTATTAAGTACACTTGCGCTGTTGCATTGCATAGATTCACATTTGCAACTATCTGTTTAAAACAGGTTTCAGAGTAGCAGCCGTGTTAGTCTCTATCTGCAAAAAGAAAAGGAGGACTTGTGGCACCTTAGAGACTAACAAATTTATTTGAGCATTAGCTTTCGTGAGCCACTGCTCACTTCATCGGATGCATTCAGTGGAAAATACAGTGAGGAGATTTATACACACAGAGAACATGAAACAATGGGTGTTACCATACACACTGTAACGAGAGTGATCATGGGAAGCATATGGAATATCCATGGTCAGAGTTCCAGGTGTGTCTGTGCGGATTTGTTCTTGTGCTTTTTCAGGGAGTTTCTTGACTACACCATTTGCTCAAGAAACTCCCTGAAAAAGCACAAGAACAAATCTGCACAGACACACCCCTGGAACCCCGACCAGAGGTATTCTATCTGCTACCCAAGATCCATAAATCTGGAAATCCTGGACGCCCCATCATCTCAGGCATTGGCACCTTGACAGCAGGACTGTCTGGCTATGTAGACTCCCTCCTCAGGCCCTACGCTACCAGCACTCCCAGCTATCTTCGAGACACCACTGACTTCCTGAGGAAACTACAATCCATCGGTGATCTTCCTGAAAACACCATCCTAGCCACTATGGATGTAGAAGCCCTCTACACCAACATTCCACATAAAGATGGACTACAAGCCGTCAGAAACAGTATCCCCGATAATGTCACGGCAAACCTGGTGGCTGAACTTTGTGACTTTGTCCTCACCCATAACTATTTCACATTTGGGGACAATGTATACCTTCAAATCAGCGGCACTGCCATGGGTACCTGCATGGCTCCACAGTATGCCAACATTTTTATGGCTGACTTAGAACAACGCTTCCTCAGCTCTCGTCCCCTAATGCCCCTACTCTACTTGCGCTACACTGATGACATCTTCATCATCTGGACCCATGGAAAAGAAGCCCTTGAGGAATTCCACCATGATTTCAACAATTTCCATCCCACCATCAATCTCAGCCTGGACCAGTCCACACAAGAGATCCACATCCTGGACACTACAGTGCTAATAAGCGATGGTCACATAAACACCACCCTATACTGGAAACCTACTGACCGCTATGCCTACCTACATGCTTCCAGCTTTCATCCAGAGCACACCACACAATCCATCGTCTACATCCAAGCTCTACGATACAACTGCATTTGCTCCAACCCCTCAGACAGAGACAAACACCTACAAGATCTCTATCAAGCATTCTTACAACTACAGTACCCACCTGCTGAAGTGAAGAAACAGATTGACAGAGCCAGAAGAGTACCCAGAAGTTACCTACTACAGGACAGGCCCAACAAAGAACAGAACGCCACTAGCCATCACCTTCTGCCCCCAAATAAATTTGTTAGTCTCTAAGGTGCCACAAGTCCTCCTTTTATTTTTGTTTAAAACAGGTGTCACTTCAGTTTAAGATTGTTTATTTGTGGCTTAAAAATAGCAATCTACACAGTGACAGAATTCTTAAAACTAATGTATAAGTAAAGTTAATATTTTAAGGATTTTTCAGGAGAGGAGCTTTAACATCCATAATAAGCAATTAAAATTGATCTTTAAAAACAAGTTGTTCAAATCTGCTTTTAAACCAGGCAGTCACAATCTCAACTTTCACTTCCTTACTTAGATAGCTTCATTGAATCTAATGAGCATTATAATAATGCCTCTCTCATTCCTAGCCCACCCCTCCCCTTCCCCCAAAAAAGAGACATTCTCAACAAAGTCAACAGTAATATAAATGATATTAGATAGGAAGATGGAAAATAACTTACCTCATCAGCTATCATACACCTAGATGCAAAAAAGGGAAATGTTTCAGTAAATGCAACAGATAAAATAATTAAAATTGCATTTATCTACAGATTCATTTTAATGATTAAAACACAGACTAATAGCTTGATAGATTAAGAACAAAAGCTAGTTTTATTGTCATCTGCATTATGATTGAAACTCACCAGAAATAGATTGAATACTGTAATAAATACTACCAGAATGTTAACTCTTCTAAAAACATATTTATGCTAGAGTTTAGAACAAGGTATTAAATCAGGTCCAATCTAGCATTACATTAAATGTGATATCCATCTACATGTTCATCAGAAGCTTTGTATCTTCTGTTGTACCGTTTTTCACAGAGGATGAAGCAATGTTATCCACCCCTTCAGCTACATATTATATATTTAGCTGTCAGAAAAATCAGATAGCTGTGAATAGGAGTAATTACTTGTTCTGAAGTTTCCTCCAGCCACTTTTACAGTAGAAACAGAAGTTGACTTCTACTTTCATCTTCCATAAACAAATCTTATCTTTATACATGTTATAATGTATATCAACTGGAATTTTTCCATTTCAGAATTTATCCGTCTAGTGTTATTCTCAGTAAGACCAGTACTAGCTTCCAGATTGCAGTGAGAAACAGTACATCCTACAATATTTGTTCGGAATATATGCATGTTGTTGCAATCCCAGGTTGTGTGTGATAGTACACAGCAATTTCAGATTTTGAGACATATAGTACAAAATAATGAATGATAAAATTACAGCTATTTCATATTGCTCTCAATTGACACATTGGCCAATGTCCTTAACTGCCTCTACCCATCATGTTTGACAGAGATGTCTGATGTTAGTTACTTCACTAAACTGATTGTTTGTTTGCTTATAATATTAAATGATATGCTACTATTAGGACTGTGTCCATATATAATTTAGATACCCGTCTTGGAATGTCCACTCCCTATGTGCCTGCCAAGCATGGGCGGACTAAGATAACTAAATTCTGCACAATTAAATTTCATTTAACAAGTGAAAATAAGTCACGGCGGCAGAGATAACTTTCAGATGTGATGAAATACAGCTGCATCTTTCCAAGACTGGAGAAAGATTGCCCCAGCATCTCTGTGGATTCTCAGGGTTTTTCCAAGCCACAGAATGAAATTAACAACACTGGTCGGTTTCACAGTTCACTATTGTGAACCATGTTTGAAAATAAACAAGAATTCTATCAGTTTCACATGGTTGTTGTAAAATACTATGAGCAGTTGCAAAGGAAGGCACTGGAGCTGAAACAAAGGCTAAGAAGGACTCTTTACTTTCTTAGTTTACTGAGGGCTTGCCTACACTTAAAATGCTACAGTTCAGACACTACCTACCCTGATGAGAGGGATTCTCCCATCTGCACAGATAATCCACCTCCCCAAGAGGTGGTAGCTAGGTCAATGGAAGAATTCTTCCATGGACCTTGCACTATCTATATGGAGACTAAGGTAAGTTTAACAATGCCGACCAGGGATATGGATTTTTCATACCCCTGACTAATGCAGTTAAACTGATCTAATTTTCTAGTGTAGAACAGGCCTTAGGTTCTCTCACAACAGCTAACAGGAGGAGGAGAGTGTCCTGGAAACTATCCCCTCCCTCCATCTTCATAATAAAATTCCAGGATTGTCACTCTGTCTGTGTGTCACTCTGAAACCTAAAATGTCTGCTGAGTCAGTGTGAAGCAATGGAAATAGCTACAAGCATGGGTGAGAGTTCTTGTTACTTAGAATATCACCAGGTTCAATATTCACTGGAATTTGTGGTCTGTTACCACCCAATTTTTAAGTTCTCAGCCATTTTCAACTTTTTTACACTTTACGAATTACACCTGTGTGACAAGTATGGGTTTTCATCTTGTATATGTGTAATAATCAGGAGACTGGTTTCAGAGGGGTAGCCTTGTTAGTCTGTATCAGTAAAAACAATGAGGAGTCCTTGTGGCACCTTAGAGACTAACAAATTTATTTGGTCATAAGCTTTTGTGGGATATAACCCACTTCATCAGATGCAGGTCGAAAATACAGTAAGCAGGTATAAATATACAGCCCATGAAAAGATGGGAGTTGCCTTACCAAGTGGGGGGATCAGTGCTAATGAGGCCAATTCAGTTAGGGTGGAGGTAGCCCATTCCCAACAGTTGAAAAGAAGGGGTGAATATCAATAGAGGGAAAATTACTTTTGTAGTGCTAACGAGGCCAATTCAATCAAAGTGGATGCGGCCCATTCCCAACAGTTGACAAGAAGGTGTGAGTATCAACAGAGGGAAAAATTATTTTTTGTAGTGACCCAGCCACTCCCAATCTTTATTCAGGCCTAATTTGATGGTGTCAAGTTTGCAAATTAATACCAGTTCTGCAGTTTCTCGCTGAAGTCTGTTTTTGAAGTTTTGTTGTTGAAGAATGGCGACTTAAGTCTGTTATTGAGTGTCCAGAGAGACTGAAGTGCTCTCTTACTGATTTTTGAATGTTACAATTCTTGATGTCTGATTTGTGTCCATTTATTCTTTTGCATAGAGACTGTCTGCTCTGCCAATGTACATGGCAGAGGGGCATTGCTGGCACATGATGGCATATATCACATTGGTAGATGTGCAGGTGAACGAGCCCTTGATGGTGTGGCTGATGTGGTTGGGTCCTATAATGGTGTCCCTTGAATAGATATACAGACAGAGTTGGCAATGGGTTTGTTGCAGGGGTTGGTCAGGAGACTCTCTAAACAAGGGAGAAGAGACAAACTTTCTGTCCTGCAGAAGCACTGAAGGTGGTGGAGCTTTCGATTTATCAAAACACCTCTGCACCACAGATCAGTCTGGAAGATGAAGGCCCCAAGCAGGCTCTGCAGCAACATCCTGGTATAAATATCAGCACACTCTGAATTCCTAGAAGTTATTAGGATTAGGGATGTAAAATATTAAGCAGTTAAACGATTACCCGGTAAACATCAGTCTTACCGTTAACCACCCTAACCGTTAACCCACAGCCCCGTGCCAGCTGGCCAGAGCAGCCCCAGCCCCATTCTCTTTAATCAGTTAACCAGTTAAATGACAATTTTAATTGTTTAAATGGTTAACTTTTTAAACAATATTTACATCCCTAATTAGGATTGACAAATAGTTGCACCTGGACCTCAGTGGTGGGGCCTCTGACCTTTGGGCTTTTGTTATCTGACAATTAGATTTGGTTGTCCAACTAATATATAGTTAGTAAATTTTTCAGGCATTGTGTGTAATTTTAGGGTTTTTAGAAGTGAACTGAACCACACACCCCAGAAATTCCAAGTAGCATGCGAATGATACTCACATGGGTCATTGGCAGAGCTGGAACCTAGTGCCAAGCTACTCCCTAGGCCCCCTTTGTCCCAGCTGTTCTTCCCTCTGCATTTTAACTGTGCAGCTGCCTCCTCCAGGCTGCCTGGTTGAACACTGAGGGCACAGGAGAGACAGGCTGCCTGCTCGCAGGTCTGGTGCCTGATTCCAGACTGACTCAAAGCAGCAATTGCAGGGAAAGTTTTGTACAGCATCCAGCAGCCCTAGGCTGTAGCATGCCCAATGGGGACAGACTCTTTGGGGAATTTAACTGCCAATCTCTAGCCAGTCTGTACTGAGCATGTGTAAACTGTGATTTTTTTCAAAGGGTTATAATTGAGCCAAATTGGTCAGATTTTCATGGCAATGGCAAAAGGCATATTATCTCTGATGCAAAGACTACTCTTCTGTAAAATGTAAGCCCCTGTTCCAACTCCTGGGGGTGCTAGAGATTTCCAAAGAAAAAACTGACACTTTTTTTTTTTTTTTTTAAAACCATGAGGAAAACATACTTTTCCCTCGCCTTGCTCTCAGAAATGGCTAAAACCATGTTGGATGAAAACCTTCCCCCTCTTACCCCGCATCCTCAAAATCAATCAATCAGCCAGAAGACACCCCATCTGGAAAATTTCAGCCTGAACAGTTAAAGGTTGTCAGAGTTGTATGTAATTGAAAACAATCGTATAATGGGAACTGTTGGGTAACATTAATAGGTGGTGCTGTTAACCCCGCTTATAATGCATATACACACAAAACTTGTTGATAGATTATAACCCAAAGTTTCAATTCAGTTCCTGGTTCCATTTCTCATAAATGATATTTTCCAGTAACTGATGCCTACACACTGGTAAATGTGTGTCTAATACTTGATATCAAGTTTTAGAAAGTTTACGTTTTCTAAGGAAATCTCCCATATTACTACACTCTCCTGATTTGGAACTCAGAAGTATTAATTAAGAGGGTACTGATTCTATACAAAGATGTGTATCCACTCGGGTTGCCAACTCTGACTGAAGCTATTCCGGGAGATATTTTTTTCCCCCAACATGACGTAATGTCATTTTCTTTAAATATCCTATTAAAATCTCCTGGGTTGCTTTCAATAGTCACCAGGAGATCAATGCCAATTCTGGGAGACTCCAGGCCAATCTTGGAGAATTGGCAACCCTAGTAGCCACGCTATTTTTTTTATTTTTGTGTTTCATATTTGAATGCAATACTCAGGGCTTGTCTACACAGTATTGGCAAAATGTACTGGAGCACTTTACAAATCACACCTCTCTAACAGCCCCACATAAACTCTGCTGGCATGCTCTAAAATGGTACCTAGTTTGTGTTAAAGGCCAGCAAGATCTATATGGGGTAGTTATAGCACTTTCCAAAGCACACCCCTCTAATGCACTTTGCCAGTTCAGACAAGCCCTCAGAAGGATTTTTGAATATTCTTCATGTGCACATATCATAAGCAATCTTGAGGCTCAGAATGAATGTAGAATGCATTATTGAGAAATATGCACATTCTATACTATGATATTGAAACCCTCTTTTTAAAATGCAAACCTAGTCTTAAGTGTCAGGTAAAAATAAGAAAGGTATTCCTTGAGGGAACTGGCATCAGAAGCACATTCTTTCTGCACATGAAACAGTCACCATTCTACCTTTAAAC